CTGCAAACCGCGACTTCTTCACCCACGGCGGCTGTGGCAGCGAACATGGAGGTTTAGCCCAGCCTGCATCCAGTCCTCTTGCCTGCATGTTGCCATATGCTATACTCCCTTGGCATCTGCCACTTTCGAATCTGAGCTTCGGGCGCCTTTGAGATCCCTCGAACCTTGCCCAGCAACTGCTCGATTGAGGCATCTAAGCGGAAAGTCAAACGCGCAAGCAGATATTTGCCATTTTGAGACGTGCTGCTTCGTCGCACCAAGGACAACACCACCTGGAAGCTGCAGGCTTAGGGCAAGCTCCTGCATGGCCGGCGCTTGTGCTGATACTCACGAGTATATTGCAAGAAGAACACAAAAATCGTCCTGCGATGATGCCTGCTGCCTCCGACATGGTTACTAGTCCATGACGCTTGAAACACAAGCTGCATTAGTCCCATGCCTCTTCGCTGATGCCAAAACACTCCGCAGCCTGTGAAGTGCCTCCGCGGGTCAGAGTGAAATCACAGGCCATGGGCCTGGAACTTCTCGGCGGCGTCGGCCTTGTGAAGCTTGACCGGGCCGCAGTGCTCCTGCATTCCGTGCATGCAAAGGCACAACATCCTCGTAGACGCGGCTGCGCTTGTTGCGGAAAGCGGGCGCCGTCCCCCAGCCAAGACAGACCCAACAATTCTTGTGCACGGCCTCATGGCCATGCCATGCCCTCAGAAACGCTGTCACAAGACCTAGCCCCAGACGTGTGCTCCCTGGCGGGTGCGTCGATCCGGAAATCCCGAGATTTCGTGTTGGGCCTGGGCAAGCCTTCATGCCTTCGGGATGGACAGGGCATGACCGTGCCACCAGGGTCCAGCAGCATGGGAGAGTCGAATTGAAGGGGTACAAGCAAGTACACAGGCATGCGCATGCACATATATCACAGGCACTGACATACAGTTACACATGAGAGCCTACGAAATATCATGTCCTATTTTTTTGCATTGGGCATCGCAGGAGGGATCCAGAGTTCGGCTTAGCTTCCGGCCGTCAGCTCATGACGGCAGCCATGTATCAGCCCCTCCGTGCTGCGTTCTTAGCTGTACTCCGCTTCAATGGGATGTTCCGGGCGGCACCGCAGGCCCGAGCGATGAATACCATGAACACGCCAATGTTGTACAGTATGTACAGAGGTTCATCGTGTGGAGATGCAGGGACGAGGATGAGCCCACATGTCACATATGAATACGTTGTATGTATATGTGTGTACTGTCTGTCTGTCTGTCTGTCT